GGCCGCTTTTGGGCCCATAATTCCTTAACTGTTGGTACCATAACCCCCAAAATCAAACCCAATCTTCCTTTTGTGGTATTGAACCTTATGGTAAAATTTCATAGAGATCCATTCACTTAAACTAAAGTTAGAGTGCGAAAACCAATGTGTCTTTGGACGACAACGACGATGACGACGACGACGCCAACGTCATAACAATATACGACCACAAAAAATTGTTTGCGGTCGTATAAAAACAAGCGACATCTTTTAAAACAAAAATACAGAAGAAATAAAGAACCTTAGTGAGCGCGCTCACATACCCCCACGTCCCCACATTGTCATTGGAGAAATTAAATAAGTGTAAGAAAAAAAAATTGTATAAGAAAAAAAATTGAATCATAATTTCCTGTCAATATGCACATCTACATAGAATGTCCTTATTATCTACAAAATTTCGTGAAATTCTGTTGTGTGGTTTCAGAGGAGTTGAGATGACAAACTGTTGCAGAAGTACATTGAAGCAAATAAGTTCAAAGGGGCGTAACTCCTAGAAAAAAAATTGAATCGTAATTCCCTGACGATATGCACATCTAAGTAGTATGTCCTTATTATCTACAAAGTTTCATGAAATTCTGTTGTGTGGTTTCAGAGGAGTTGAGATGACAAACTGCTGAAGTAGTACCTTAAAGCAAATAAGTTCAAAGGGGTGTAACTCCTAGAAAAAAAATTGAATCGTAATTTCCTGTCGATATGCACAACTACATAGTATGTCCTTATTATCTTAAAAGGTTTCATGAAATTCTGTTGTGTAGTTTCAGAGGAGTTGCGATGACAAACTGTTGCAGTAGTACATTGAAGCAAATAAGTTCAAAAGGGGCAGAACTCCTAGAAAAAAAATTAAATCGTAATTTCCTGTCGATATGCACATTTACATAGTATGTCCTTATTATCTAAAAAGGTTTCGTGAAATTCTGTTGTGTGGTTTGAGAGGAGTTGAGATGACAAGAAACAGGACTGAAGGACTGACGGACGGACAGACAGACGGATGGACGGACAGACAGACGGATGGACGGACGGACGGACAGACAGACGGACGGATGGACAGATGGATGGGTCAAAAACATTATACCCTCCACAACTTTGTTGCGTGGGGTAAAAAAAATTAGGCAGAAGAAAAAAAAATAATCGGAACAGAATCAATAGGTCTTTCCAAGAAAAGTAGGAAAGACCTAATAAGAACTGAGCAAAAAACAATAAGTTTGTTTGGGAGACTTAATTAAGTTTGGTAAAAATCCAGGATGGTTTATGAATCTAATAAATCTGTTTGTAATGTTAACTGGAAGAACAAGAATGTGTCCGTAGTACACAGATGCCCCACTCGCACTATCAATTTCTATGTTCAGTGGACCTCGAAATCGGGATTAAAAATCTAATTTGGCATTTAAAATAGAAAGATCATATCATAAGGAACATGTGTACTAAGTTTCAAGTCGATTGGACTTCAACTTCATCAAAAACTACCTTGACCAAAAACTTGAACCTTAAGTGACCAAAAACTTTAACCTGAAGTGACCAAAAACTTTAACTTTAAGTGGGACAGATGGACAAATGGATGAACTAACAAACGGATGCACAGACCGAAAAACATAATGCCCATCAATGTGGCATAAACAAATGTACAGTATTCTGTCCAAAGTGGAGAGATTGCAAACATGAGAAGAACATTTAACCTACCTCCTTGCTGACAGTCTGTCCTTCCTGAACACTTTTTTTCATTCTTTTTTCTACTTCACTGTGTAAATCTGCCAACTGTCAAAGAAATATAAACTTATTATAAGTATTATGCAATGACTACATAGAATAAAAAAAAAGAAGTTGCATGTGCTGTCATGTTAGGCATTTATAATTCAAATTAAAAAGTAGGTTTCTGTCATAGCTAAAAAGTGTTTACTCATTACAACTCCTCACTTTCAGTTATTTTGTGCAGTACTTTCTGATAAAACGTAACAAAATGCTTCGCTGATTGCATCCTGATACGACTGCAGAGGTCGAACCCTGAACAGTTTGGGCAAATTTGGACACAATATTCAAGCTTGATACTGTCTGAAATTGGATTGTTATCAAATTTTTGACATAATATAAGATTCTGACACAAAATAAATGTGGTCAAAGATCTTATAAATCCATTGCGCAATACTGTGCAATTAAAGATTTCTTCTTGAAACTTCAAAAATTTTAAATTTTAAAAATTTTGAAAAAAAAATATGAATCCCTTAAAAATAATTGGGAAAAAAATCCCCCCCCCCCAACTTTTTGAAACCCCCCCCCTAGGAGCAATGACCCCAAAACTCAATCCCAGCCTTTCCTTTGTAGTATGGAACCTTGTAGTACAATTTCAGAGAGATCCATACATTTACACACAAGTTATTGTCTGGAAACTAGTAAAATGCTTGTTTTTGGCCCTTTTTTGGCCCCTAATTCCTACATGTTTGGGGCAATTAACCCCAAACTCAATCCCAGCCTTCCCTTTGTTATATGGAACCTTGTGGTACAATGTCAGAGAGATCCATACACTTACACACAAGTTATTGTCTGGAAACTAGAAAAAATGCTTGTTTTTGGCCCCTAATTCCTAAACTGTAGCCTTTTCAATAGTCGTCTGGAGCGAAAAGGACGATAACTCAATTTTAGAATTTAATATTTTTCGGAGACGGTCAATTTCCGGAATTGCATGCTTTTATAGCAGGAAGGTTGAGCGTTCAGAAACGTTTATATCCACGGCATATTCTATATTTGTCTGTCAAATATCGTACTTTTTTCCCTTTTGGATTGATTTTTATTTTTTGCCACATGGGGGAGTTGGCTTTTATACCTGCCTATACGATATGGGGTTTGCTCATTGTTAGGGCTATACTGTGACTTTAATATGTGTTTTCTTTTCGCTGTAAGTTCTGACGGTCGACAGTCAGTTTACACCTTCATCACACGTGTAATTGCTGTGTGTACTCTCACGTGACTAAAAGTTTTCTATAAAACCTCAATTCTTAATCATACGCCTATTTTAATACCGGTAGTTTAAAACCAGAATGCATTCGACTCAAATTTTAATTGACTAGGTGTATAAAAAGAAGATGTGGTATGATTTCCAATGAGACAACTCTCCACAAGAGACCAAATGACACAGAATTTAACAACTATAGGTCACCGTACGGCCTTCAACAATGAGCAAAGCCCATACCGCATAGTCAGCTATACAAGGCCCCGAAATGACAATGTAAACCAATTTCGAAAACTAACGGCCTAATTTATGTACAAAAAATTCGTAAGGGTTCCGCAGAACCCAGTGTCTCGCCTACTTTTGCTGTTAATCGCAGGCTCAACAAAAATGAGGAAAAAAATCTATAAAAATATTTCTTTAGATACTATATTTTGATTGTAAGAAGCTTCTGTCAAAGTTTGGTATAAATCCAGGATATTTTATGAATCTAATAAATGTTTTAAAAACTTTAACTGCAGACTGTAATGTTAACTGGAAGAAAAACAAAGTCCATTTATAAGTAAAATATGGATAAACAGGTACAAATTTTAACAAAATTTCCTTCTAGATACTAGCTTTTGATCATAAACAAATCTGTCCAAGTTTGGTACAAATCCAGGACAGTTTAAGAAAGTTATTAAAATTTTAAAAACTATAACCACAGAGTGAATGTATTGTTTCCTGGCAGAAAAACTAAGTCCATTTATAAGTAAAATAAGGAAAAAAGGAAATTTTTTTTAACAGATTTACTTCTGGATACTATCTTATGATCATAAACAAGCTTCTGTCCAAGTTTGGTACAAATCCAGGATAGTTTAAGAAAGTTATTCAAATTTTAAAAACTTTAACCACAGAGTGAATATTTGTGGACGCCGCCAACGACGACGCCGACGGAATGAAGGATCGCTATGTATCGCTTTTCCGACTAAAGTCGAAGGCTCGACAAAAAAATATGTATAACACACAAACAAACGACAACCACTGAATTACAGGCTCCTGACGAGGGAGTGTCTATATTTCCTACCAGTACCGAAGGTCGTTGAATTGGTTTATTCCGGAAACACCGGATGCTTCCACCAATAACAGAGTGCATATGCTGAAATGTCACGCCTGTTTTACTTATCACTAAATTTATGTTGAAAGTCTGTAACATGAAGGTTTTACCGCAAGTATCACATAAGCTTAACATTATCAATGTTCTATGATAATGAGGTCATGGTCAGATAACACAGACAAGACAGACATGTTCACCTTAAAATTATTTCATTCCTAAATATAGCTGACCTATGACATCAAGAATTTGAAAAAACAGACCAAAACACAAAAACTTAACATTGACCAATGAACCATGAAAATGAGGTCAATGTCAGATGATACTGCCTAGAACTTCATGTATATAATCATTGTATACACTAAATATAGGTGACCTACTGTTGTGATACTGGCTAAAACTACATGTATACCTTACAATCATTCAATACACCAAATACAGCTGACCTGTTGCTTATAGTATCTGATAGACTGACACAATTACGAAAAATGTATCATTGACCAATGAACCATGAAAATGAGGTCAATGTCAGATAATGCCTACCAGACAGACATGCACATCTTACAGTCATTCATTTTACCAATTATAGTTGACCTGTTGCTTATAGTACTTGAAAAAAACAGACCAAAACAAACAAAAAATTAACATTGACCAATGAACCAAGAAAATAAGCTCAATATCAGAAGAAACCTGCCAGACTGACATGCACCCATTACAGTCATTCCATACACCACATATAGTTATCCTACTGTATACAGCATTTGAGAAACGGACCTAATTTAATCACATAACTTTAACCTTGATCCATGAAATGAGGTCGAGATTAGGTGAATCCTGTCTGACGGACATGTAGACGTTTCAAAAAATACCAAACATTTGCCAAATATACTGGTATTTATCCTAATACTGCATAATAAGTAAGAAATTCACATTACAAAAAACGTTTTATTTTTCAAGCAGTCACTGAACCACGAAAAATACTTAAAATCCATCAATCAATTAATGCTATAACATAGTAAAATACCCGGACGAACTTTCATACAATCATGAATAATAAAAATTATAATAATAATAGTATAAATTCTTTATTTAAAGAGAGTAACTAAACAATTATAGTTAGTTACATAAAACTTATCTTCCCTGAGACCACACAAACATCACAATACAATCAAAAACAGATATTTACACATAGTTTATTTACAGTCAAGTATTCTAGATGAATGACATTTATCAATTACTTACTAATCATGCTAATATGTGTTCTCATGTGTCTATGTAAATTATCACTAGTATGTGTTCTCTTGTGTCTGTAAATTATAACTAATATGTGTTCTCATATGTCTATGTAAGATATCACTGATATGATTTCTCATGTGTCTACGTAATTTATCAATAGTATGAGTTCTCATAACATGATGTGTCTGTAAATTATCATTAGTATGTGTTCTCATTTGTTTTTGTAAATTATCCATGATATCACGTATGTATGTGTTCTCATGATTTTAGTATGAAGATTATCACTCATTTTGAACCCCAAACCTCAAACATCTCATTTTAGAGTTTTATTCCCATTACATGTATGTATTCAAATGTGTCTCTTTGAGTCAACATGCTGATTAAAACCTTTACCACATACAGTCAAGAGATTAATCACCTGTGTGTTATCTCATGTGTCTCTTGACATTTCTAAGCTATCTAAACCCTTTACCACATACACAACAGTCATGAGATTAATGTGTTTTCATGTCAATATGTAAATAACATTGCTAACAAAACCCTGTACCACATACATTACAGTCATAAGGTAATTTGCCTGTATGTATTTGCATACATTTGTTTGGTACATCACAAACTGACAAATGTCATGAATGTGAGGTTTACATGTTTTGCCTGTATGTAATTTCATATGCCTCTTTAAATAAATAAGACGACTTAACCCATTCCCACATACATCACAGTCTTGAGGTTTATCGCCTGTATGTGTTCTCGTGTGTCTCTGTAAACCACAAAGTCGACTGAAACCTTTATCATTGTTTACCACATACATGTACATCATCAGTGATGATTTTTATCGCCTATTTGTGTTTTCATGTGTTTCTTTGAATTACTAATTAATTTGTGTTACCATGATTACTAAGCTAGCTAAACCCTTTACAACATACACCACACTCATGAAGTTAATAACATGTATGTGTTCTCATGTCAATATAAATTACAATGCTGACCAAACTCTTCCATATATACACCACTGTCATCAAGTAAATTGCATGGTAGGTATGGCCGTATGCTCATACTTTCTTTTTAACTATTAAATTGACTAAACCCTTTGCCATCTCAAATGTGAGGTTTACATGTTTTACCTGTATGTATTTTCATATGTCTGTTGAAATTACTAAGATCACTAAACCCTTTCCCACAAACATCACATTCATGAGGTTTAAAACCTGTATGTGTTCTCATATGTCTCTGTAAAATACTAAGCTGACGAAATCCTTTCCCACATAGATCACAGTCATGTGGTTTATCAACTGTATGTGTTCTCATGTGAATCTGTAAAACACAATGCTGACTAAACCGTTTACCACATACATAACAGTCATGAGGTTTATCACCTGGATGTATTCTCATGTGAATTTGTAAACTACTATGCTGAATAAAACTTTTACCACATAAATCACACTCATGAGGTTTATCACCTGTGTGTATTCTCGTGTGAATATGTAAATTGCCAAGCTGACTAAACCATTTACCACATACACCACAGTCATAAGGTTTATCACCTGTATGTGTTCTCATGTGAATTTGTAAACTACCATGCTGACTAAACCCTTTACCACATACATCACAGACATGAGGTTTATTTCCAGTACATGTATGTGTTCTCATGTGAATTTGTAATCTTCCAAGCTCACTAAACCCTTTTCCACATAAATCACAGGCATGAGGTTTATCTCTATGTGTAGTCATGTGTGCCTTTAGGGCATCACTGCGAAAGAATTCACTAGCACAAACATCACATTTATGACGTTTTTCACCAGTATGTGTTCTCATGTGTCTCCTTAAGTCACCACTTCGAGAAAATTCACTAGCACAAACATCACATGTATGACGTTTTTCACCAGTATGTGTTCTCATGTGTCTCTTTAAGTGACTAATTTGACTAAATTCTCTAGCACAAACACCACATTTATGATGTTTTTCACTTGTATATGTTCTCTCATGTCTCTTTAAGTCACTACTTTGACTAAATTCTCCAACACCAACACCAACATCACATTTATGAAGTATATTATCAATATGTGTGTTGATGTGTCTCTGTAAAGTACAATTGACAGTGACTAAATCCTCTCCTCCCTCTAACATCTGATTGATAATGTTAATCTTCAGTGTGTGAGTTCTTGTACAACTAACTCTGTATAAAGAGAAAAAAGAAATATAAAAAGAGCTCCAGATAAGAATTCACAAATTGGGGTTTTTACCCACCATTTTTTATGTAATTGAGTGAAAGAGTGTTTTCAATTGCATTATTAATTCCAATTCACCCCTCAAGCAAATATCAAAATTGGGTTTTTCACCACCAAGCTCCTTAATGTATTGGGTTTTGTCATCAAGATATTGAATTTAGGCATGTTAAAATGAAAGTATATCAAACCGAGATGTTCATCAACCTTAAATATGTTTCTTTCGTTATATATGTGATGGCTGTTTTATTTGGTTTATACCCTGATGAGCAATTGTTCGTTTAATTTGTATCTGGTTTATTTTAGTTGTTCTGCTAGTTTTGTATTTTCTCTTAATTTATATAAACTGATGCATGGTCACCGGAGCAGTCAGGGGACTTACTTAAAAGAGTGATTTTCTAAATCACTGATTCACGTAATATTATGTCCATAAAGGTTGGAAGTAAGGGTTGTCTTTCTTTAATAATCACCTATTTAAGTAGTACAAATAAATCACTAGACTAAGTGATTTAATTTAAATATAGAATACTAATGATCCAGGGACTAATTATGTTGCTAAAACTATCAGAACCAACATCTGTGTTGATAGGACATGTAGGATGACCGGGTCATGTCAGGTGATGACCTTGTACTAAATCTAGGATAATGACATAAAAATCACTTGTTTAAGTATCATACCTCAATTTCCTTTCAAAAAATCACTTCTTTAAGTATCATTATTTTAATAACCCCCTCTAAGGCCAAAAAAAAATATATGTCTGTTTACGGTTACCCGACCGACCATACTTTTGCGGAGCGTCTTTTTACCACAGAACACCACAGAATACCACAGAACACCCAAAATACAATAAAACTACTAAAATATACCACAGAACATTGAATTAATTTACAAAATGCAAAACTAATAATTCAGAATTATATCATTTTTACAATTCGGGCTACACTAATGACAGGACGATTGACCGGATGAGATATAAATTTCTTTAATGATCATAACTTTTTTTGTTATTTGGTAGTTTTTATTTTTTTATTTGGAGACCTTTGAGATACTAAACTATATTTTATAAAAATCTTTTAAAAACAATTTATTGTAAAAAAAAAAAGGTTTTTCAATAAGAAAAAATTATTTTCTATAAATAAAAGTTTTTCTATAAAAAAAAAAGATTTTCAATAAAAAAAATTGATTTTCTATAAATAAATGTTGTTCTATAAAAAAATGTTTTTCTATAAAAAAAAATATGCTTTTTCTATTTAAAAAAATGTTTTTCTATAAAAAAAAAATGCTTTTTCTATTTAAAAAAATTCGTAAGGGTTCCGCGGAACCCAGTGTCTCGCCTACTTTTTCTGTTAATCACAGGCTCAACAAAAATGAGGAAGTAAATCAATAAAAATATTTCTCTTGATACTATCTTTTGATTGTAAGAAGCTTCTGTCCAAGTTTGGTAAAAATCCAGGATAGTTTATGAATCTAATAAATGTTTAAAAACTTTAACTGCAGACTGAATGTAACGTTAACTGGAAGAAAACAAAATTTCCTTCTAGATACTAGCATTTGATCATAAACAAGCTTCTGTCCAAGTTTGGTACAAATCCAAAATAGTATAAGAAAGTTATTAAAATTTTTAAAACTTTAACCACAGAGTGATGAATGTGTTGTTTCCTGGCAGAAAATCTAAGTCCATTTAAAAGTAAAATACGGAAAAAATGGATTTATTTTTTTACAAAATTTCCTTCTAGATACTAGCATTTGATCATAAACAAGCTTCTGTCCAAGTTTGGTACAAATCCAAAATAGTATGAGAAAGTTATTAAAATTTTAACAACTTTAACCACAGAGTGAATGTGTTGTTTCCTGGCAGAAAATCTAAGTCCATTTAAAAGTAAAATAAGGAAAAAATGTTTTTTTTTTTTTACAAAATTTACTTCTGGATACACTCTTATGATCATAAACAAGCTTCTGTCCAAGTTTGGTAGAAACCCAGGATAGTTTAAGAAAGTTATTAAAATTTTAAAAACTTTAACCACAGAGTGAATGTAATATTTCCCGGCAGAAAAACTAAGTCCATTTATAAGTAAAATACGGAAAAAATGGAATTTTATTTTTACAAAATTTACTTCTGGATACTATCTTATGATCATAAACAAGCTTCTGTCCAAGTTTGGTAGAAATCCAGGATAGTTTAAGAAAGTTATTAAAATTTCAAAAACTTTAACCACAGAGTGAATATTTGTGGACGCCGCCGCCGCCGACGACGACGACGACACCGATGCCGACGGAATGTAGGATCGCTATGTCTCGCTTTTTTGACTAAAGTCGAAGGCTCGACAAAAATGTTGTTTTTCTATAAAAAAAAAAATGCTTTTTCTATTTAAAAAAATGCCTTTTCTATATAAAAAAAAGTTGACATGATGAATTTTACCGGCGCCAATTGCACTATTAAGATTAAGTTTGTTCTCCTAATTCTGTTAATAAATTTCAAAATAATCAACTATTTACAAAATTGTCAATAGATTGAATTCTAATTGCCATCTGATTATGCAATGTATAATTCAATTAAATGGTTTATTCCTCCTAAAATCTTGTATGTCATTTGTAAGAAATCTGTCATATAAAGGACACGATAAAATAACATGGGCTTCATCTTCTAAAATACCCTTACAACTATCACAGACTCGCTCCTCTAAAAGTAATTTCTCAAATCTCCCTGTTTCGATTCTTAGTGATGCTACACCACATCGAAATTAGACAAAAAGAACTCCTATGTGAAAATGACATTGGAATTGTACAATAAGTTTCCGTTTCAAAACTGTTCTTAAATAAATTATATGTTCGAAGTTTGTTACCACCTTTACCAGATAAAGCTTTTTCTGACTGTAAATTGCATTGCCACTGTTCAACATATTTACTAAACATTTTAGACATAATAGTATTGACAACTGAAGTACTATGAACATATTCTGTAATGTTACACAAATGTTCTGTATTACACTCAGAAAATGTTTTCGTTACATAAAAATTCCAATTTTTTATACACTTGCGTTTTTTACTGATAATGTCTGCCCATATGAAAACTTTTCTGTTTAACCGATTAGAACTCATATTGTTCAAACGGCACCATAGTAGAATTAAGCATTGCCATTATTTTTGAAAGATAGGAATAGATTTGATTTGATTTGATTTTTTTGTGTTTTAACGCCACTTTTAAGCACCGCTTTTGGGCTATTTCGTGGCGGCCAGTTTTTATTGGTGGAGGAAGCCGGAGTGCCCGGAGAAAACCACCGACCTTCGATAGGAAAACTGACAATCCTAGTCAATTAAGATTGGAGTCGAGTGCACCCGCACGAGCGGGGTTCGAACTCACAACCTCAGTGTTGACTGGCTAGTGATTACAGTAGTAACTACTTAGACCACTCGGCCACCGAGGCCCCAGATAGGAATAGAAGGAATATTTATTTTCAAAATGTAGGAATAGCAGGAAGACACCAAATTAAATGTATTTGATGTCTCAGGTGTGAAAACTTAAATGACATGTTAATTGGCTTGATGAATTGGTGATTACGACGAGTGTCAAAATTAGATAATCTAATTAAATTTTGGTACTTTTAATGTGCCGGTGAACTCGCTCAGATCATCATTTTGGACTCAAAATAAAGAATCTATATAGTAATGCTACATATGTCAGTTTTTAATTATTTAGATGCAGTTCAACTATTTCTTAATGCATACAAAATTTCGTAAAAATCTGAAATATTGTCCAAAGACTTTTATTTCATCTCAAGTAAAGTATGTGTATACAATGTTTCATCTGACTTGCCGACAGTATTTGGTTTTGAACTGCATCAAGTGTATCAAGAATCTATTCCGTGTTTCAAAAGCCAAGCTAATGTACTAGTTTGTGATGTCCATCGGAGTTGCCGCTAGTGTTGTCAGAGAACGTTTTCCCTGGACAATGCTGGAGACAACTACCAGCATGCCTCTACACAATTTAAGGCCCTGTATAAATTCTATACATAAATTGGAGAAGATACACACACATCAAAAGAAAAGTCCCAAATCATTAAATTTGAGATTTTTTACTATTATAACGACACACTTATAATATTTTATAAGTCAACTCAAATAACTGTCCAACAACAACTTCAAATATCTTGTTGAAAGTATTTGCTAGCCCTTAAAGGACTGCTTTATATATTATTCAATATTCAATAATATACATGTACTTATTATTAAACAAAAATGACAACTACAAAAACGATAAATTCTGGTATATACAAAATAGATTTAAGATATTACGTTATGCATCTAGTAGAAACATTCTAAAAAATGGAAGGAAAAAATTACAAGAAAAAATTAAAATGTATTTTAAAAAAAAGTAAATGTCACAAATATACCCCAGAATTACAATTGGTGGGACTTTAAATATTTTTTGTATATTATGGTTTTAATACCGGTAGGTGTTTTTGGTAAAGACCCAATAATAGGCCAATTCAGTTGGGGGCGTAGCGATAGTGAGTCGACCTTAAATAGAAAATTAAATTTATTAGAATAATAAATGTCAAATTATAAAAAGAATTAACAATAACAATGATATAATGTCTGAAGGATTTATATTTCGAAGTTTTGTGGTATATTTTTGGTGTTCTGTGGTAAAAAGACGCTCCCCTACTTTTGAGCGCCGACCCCAAGTCATTTTATTTCCCTCGTAAAGTGAAAAATAAACTGAACTCGTGTCAAAAGCGAAGTTAGTGTTGCAAATGATATAAATCAATTGCCTGATACATCCCAATGTTCACAATAGTGAATATGACAGCTGTTTTAAGGAAATTCGCAACTCGTGTGATGGTCCAAGGACACAGTTATCCTCCTTTGGTTACGAATATAGTCCCTAGTGTGAACAGTGTATAACTTGCATTTTTTTTTTATACACTTTCCCAATTTATTTCTTGATAT